AGGAAGTACAAGCTGCCATCCTTGGCAGCCACCCGAAACGGCCCGCAAAAGTCAATGTGCACGACAACCAATGCCTCCTTGGCATCCGAGCCCTTGTCGGGGAAGGTGTGCCGCGCCAGCTTTCCTTCGACGCACGAGACACATGGCGGGTCCGCTCCGATCAATGACGTGATGTTGAGCCCAGTAGCAACTTCATGCTTTGCGGAGCTCTTCATCGTATCAACGCCGACGTGCGCGAACCTCGCATGCAACCGGTCAAGGGTCGACTTCGTCGCCGAGACGATCGTCCGCAGAGCCACCACCTCAGTCGACGGCGACCGCGTTGAGCAGGGGCAAAGGTCGCTGCAGAATACTCGCCCGGTGTAGCGTGCTCGACTGAGCACCTCCCCGGTCGCAGCGATGAGCAGCATCTCGTCGCCGTCGCCCTGCAGCTGAACTCCACTCTCCTTCAGCTGGCCGGCAGATAGCAGATTCGCATGTACGCCTAGATCGTAGAGTACGTCAGGGATGAGGACCCCCTTCCCGGCCTCCCCTTGCAGAGCAACGGTTCCACAACCCTCGACGGGCTGCAACGCCCCATTTAAGCTGCGCACGTGCGTCACACCATCGCTCACTGCCATGTTGACGAAGACCTCATTCGTCCCCATCAGGTGATGGGAGCACCCACTGTCAAGCAACACCGCCATCGGGTTGGCCTGCACAGCTGCCGCTACCGCCTGGAAGTCTCCACGAGCATCCGGCGCCAACGAGACTGTCGGCTCCACCACGCCGACCATCGAGCACGACGCCTCCCCGTTGCCTCGGCCTTTGTCGATGGAGGTTTCGACGTCCTTCGTCGCCGACGTCTTCTTCAACGTCTCCTTCTCCTTGCGCGGCTTCGCATCTTGACGGGGGCGACAACTGGCCGACCGACCGCGACCTCCCTTGCTGCCGCCCTCGTCGCTGTCATCGCGTTCGGGGCGTTCGTAGGAGAGATGGTCGGGGTCATGGCAGATCTAGCATTCCCGCCGTCGACCACTACCTCCTCGACCCTTGTCCTGCGTCGACCTCTTCTCGTCGACGTTCTTCGTCGACCGCTACCTCCGCTACCATCTCTGCCCGGCTTCCCGCGTTGCCCTTGCTGTTGATTCAGCTTCGTCGGTGCAGCGTAGTTTGCCCGCGGAAGGAGCTCCGTTGGCTGTTCAGCCTCTTGCATCGCCTTGTTTTGAAGGATGTAGCTGGTAATGGAGTCCTCGTCGAGGGACTCATGCGTGCCGGGCACAATCATCATCCTCTTCATGAGGTTGTAGCTACGTGACAGGCCCTTGATGATGTGAATGATGCAGGACGCCGTCTGCATCCCCCATTTGCTTCTCAGGCAGGGTTCGACGAGCCCGGTTGCAGTAGTCTGTCGCAAACTCATGCTCGTCCATCCGAATATGTGTCATCTTCTCCTCCAGCTGTCCGATGTACAATTCGTCCCTGACCTGGTACGTTGACAGGATGAAGTGCCATGCCTGGTGACCAGCATCTAGTCACTCTGAACAGCTAGGGTTTAGGGTAATACGCCGGTGCAATCCCGCTCGCCATCACGTCCGTCGTCGCCGAGAGCCCTCCACCACTTCGTAGAGGAGAGCGACATCGACCATCGACGTCGGCACACGAGTTGCCTGCAGCCGCCGTCGACCGCTGCACTCGCGCCTGAATCCCGTTGACACCACCGTCGACTGTGATCACCCCTCTCTGCCTTGTGCCTTTGTTGCACAAGGGAGAATTACGCAACTTACAGAATCAGAGCTCGTCATTTCTACAGTCGATTCAACTCACAGTAAGATGACCAACGCCTAGAATTCATTATTTTCGTTGCAAAACTTCCTGTGAATGGCCAAATGAAGGAAAATGGTGATAATGACATACGAAAAATTACGGAGTTACGCATTGAGCTGGACCAGACGCGAGCGGCACTCCAATGAATAGAGGAGCTTCTCGCAAACCAGTCGGCAGCCGCCACAACAGCAGCAAACGCAGCAGTGAATGCAACATCAACGGCAGTAGCAGCAGCGGCAATACTGGCACTTCATCCAGCAGCAGCGGCAGCGGCTACAGTGAATCTCGAGGCGGCACGTCCGAGGCTACCGGAGACGTTCAATACGAATGCGAGAGACACCGACGTCCGTCGATTCATTGCGACCCTCGAAATTTACTTCAAGGCCGTTGGCTGTACGACCCTGATACACGATGCAATGCGGATTCGGCTTGCAGCAACACTGTTACGAGGACCGGCGCTCGAGTGGATTTACAACAGCAATAAGATCTATGGCGAAGGGTCATGGACGCAGTTTCGGGAAGCTTTAATTCAACGTTTCGAATCAATCAACTCCAGCTACATGGCGCGGCAGCAGATTCATCGGCATAAATAGTTCCGCAGGGTAACACAGTACACGCAGCAGATGGAGAGCCTCTTCAACTGAATTACCGACCTGGCCGAAGGGGAAAAAATCCAAGCGTATACAGAGGGGCTAAAAATGGAAGTCGGGCAACAGGTGATTGCCGCGAACTACAACAAATGCCGCGACATGGTGTGTGCAGTAGAGAGATTCGATGCGCTGATTCTATGTGAGCCCGAGAGACGACATCACGTGCCGAAACGATCATTTGGCACGAAGCGATCGGCACCACCCACGACCGTCGACCCGATAGATATCGACAAGATCGACGCGAGGGCAGCGGCCAACAAAATATGAGAAGTGCGAATTTTGCGGCGCAGCAGGACATCGATTCTTGGCGTGTTGGAAATTGAAGAAGGCACGAGCGGAGCTACAGGGCAACAACAGTGTGACATCCACGAGAGCGAAAAAAGGAGGACATGATGGCGCGAATTTAAAACGCCACAACCGGCCGGCAACAGGGGAAATCGCCGAGACAAATCGAGGCTCCGCAAAACAAGACTCTGCATCGTCCGGGAAACTCCAGCCGAACACCCCCGAGAGTAAGAATATTTCCTCTCGAGGTTTTCAAGGGAGATTTCAAGGCCAAGAAAAAGCCTTTAGACATTATTCAGGTACATGAGAAGTTGGGCAAACCACTCCGGAGCATTGAAAAGGGTCGTGCGTTCCAAGGAGTTAATATTCTCTCCCCGCAACACAGTGTTAAGGCTCCCAATTGCCCACAGGTGAAGCCTACACTGCTGCAAAGGCTTAAGGGAAGGTTCCAGGTCAAGACGAAGCTGAATCGGCTTCGGATAAATCCTGATCATCCAACTCAGTTGAAAACTGATATGGAGTCAGCAGCTTCGAGCGCAGGACCGAGGGATGATCTATTCGACGTACCCTACGATTCTATAAGCGAGACCATCTACGGTTACTCGGAGCAGCAACAACCACTACTACTTGAGGTGATCTGCAACGGGCGACGCCTCGAAGCACTGGTGGACAATGGTGCGTCCCACTCGGTGTGCGACCGCGGGACATTGGAGAAAATTGGAGAACCTTCGGAGGAGACCAAGTTCTCGGCAACAATGGTGGACGGTACGAAACATCCCATCCATGGTGAAGCATCACTAGAGCTGCATATAGGGGCACTGAGGTGGAAGCCGACGTTGCACATTACGAACATCAATGGTTTAGATCTCATCTTGGGGCGAGATTTCTTGAAGCGGTTCAACCCCGACATCGACTGGGTAAACAAGAAGGCGTGCATCTACAACAACGGAAAACAGGTAGAGCTGCGAAGCTGGACACATACAGGGAGCGTTCCTGAAACGACACTGGCAGGGTTCGAACGGACGGTGAACGAGAGCAACACAGGTTAATTTGCACTATTTATGGCAGCATAAGAGAAGGAGAAGCTGAGTACGGAGCTACCTACAGCAGTAAGGAGGTCCTGGAGCATTACAAGGACATAATGCCCGACAACCTACCTGCAGGCGTACCTCCAGCGCGCACCCACTGTCAGAACATCATAGCTTATGCATTTTGTGTAGGCTGTAGTGGGGTAGCCCATAAGGGGTACAACCCAATTAGGGTTAGTACTTGTACCCAACTCTTTCATAGTTGATTCATCCTCATTCTAGTTTTCTCATGGTATCGAGCAGGGTCCCTCGTGGGAACTGTTCCTAGGGCCCACTGATTCGGTTTTTTTTCCTGCCCGGAGCGCGCTCAGCCCCTGCCCGAGTCGCGCTCCCCTTTCTCGACCCTGTCGCTCTTGCGGCCCCCATCCCGTCGCGCCGCCCTAGCGGCTGCGTCGCGCCGCCCTTGCGACCCCGATCCGCCGCCCTAGCGACCCCGTCGCCTACCCATGCGGCCCCGGCGCCGCCCTTCTCGGCCCCAATCCGCCGCCCTTGCGACGCCGTCGCCTACCCCCGGCCCTGGCGCCGCCCTTCCCGGCCCCGATCCGCCGCCCTGCGGCCCCGTCGCCTACCCCGCGGCCCTGGCGCCGCCCTTCCCGGCCTCGATCCGCCGCCCTGCGGCCCCGTCGCCTACCCAGCGGCCCCGGCGCTGCCCTTCCCGGCCCTAATGCCGCCCTTCCCGACCCGGCCCCGCCTCTGCTGGCCCCGTCGCCTACCTGCGGCCCCGGAGCTGCCCTTCCCGGCCCTGTCGACTACCTTTGCGGCCCCGGCGCAGCCTCTGCCGGCCCCGCCGCCTCCCGCCGAGCCGCCTGCCACCCAAGCCGCCCGAGCCGACGCACCACGCCGAGCCGCCTGAGCTGCCGAGTAGCCGAGCCCCGTCGCCGTCCCCACGCGGCCCCGCCGTCACCACCGAGCCGCCAGCGCCGCCGCCTGCTGCCGAGCCGCCCGCCACCCGAGCCGCCCGAGCTGCCGCACCACGCCCAGCCGCCCGAGCTGCCGAGTTGCCGAGCCGCCCGAGCCGCTCGAGCCGCCGAGTCGCCCGAGCCGCCGAGCCGCAGTTGTTGCTGAGCCGCCGAGCCTTCAGGTCGCCCGAGCCGCCCTGTCCGGTAAGAGCAGCGCCTCTATCACTGCACTGCCCCTACCCTACTGTTCGCGCTGCTAGTCTACTGCAGTCATGGCTACCCCTAGTGTCCTCGCTTTTGACGCTGAGGGTCGGGCTATTGACTTTGAGTGCGATAGGGCAGACGGTCTCTCCCTCTTTGACCTTACCTCTGGTGCCTCTCCTGCCCCTACTGCTGATACTGACGCCACTGTTCGCTCACAGTGGGCCACACGCGATGCTGCTGCACGTCTTGCTGTGCATCGCCACCTGCCTACCTCTGAGCGTGCGCACTTGAGCCAGTACAAGAGTGCTCAGACCTTGTACGACGCTGTAGTTGCACGCTACTCCTCCCCTGCCACTGCTGCACTGAGCCGTCTCATGCTACCGTACCTCTTCCCTGACCTTGCTGCCTTTCCCACAGTCGCTGACCTCATTACGCACCTCCACACTAGTGACACTCGCTACCGCGCTGCGCTTCTTGCTGAGTTCTGCGCCAAGAACCCCCCCCCCCAATGTACATCACCCTCTACTACGTAGTCACCCGGCTCCCTGACGCTCTACGCGTAGTCAGGGACCACTTCCTCTCAGTTTGCCCCACCACTCTTACCGTTGACCTCCTCGCAGCAGAGAAGAGCATAGTCGCTGTAGGAGCCTCTCGTGGTGACCCTCGCACCCCCATCTTTGAGGGGTGTTCCCCCTCCCCCCTCCTGCCCTCTGTTGCCTCTGCTGCTGCGACTGACCTCGTTGGTTTTGAGTCTTCCCCGAGCGGGAGACGCCGCACCGACAAGGGCAAGGAGGGCAAGGGAGCTGGAGGGGCTGGCGGGGGTGGCGGAGGTGGCGGTGGAGGTAGTGGAGGGGGTGGGGGTGGTGGTGGGAGTGGTGGCGGGGGTGGAGGTGTCGGTGGCGGTGGAGGTGCAGACGTGCAGCAGTTCGTCGCCTCATGTGACACGTGCCAGCGGATGAAGAGTAGCAAGAAGAAAAAAACAGGGTTACTTCAGCCATTACCCGTACCGGAGCAGACATGGCAGTTCGTTAGTCTCGACTTCATCACGGAACTTCCTTTGACCTCACGAGGGCATGATGCTATACTCGGGTGGTCGACAACTTCTCTAAAATGGGTCACTTTATTCCGACCAACGCCACAGCTGCAGCTGAAGCAACTTCTCGCCTCTTCTTGGACCGCATCATCACCATCCACGGCATCCCCGCTACACTCTTCTCAGACAGAGACCCCAAAGTCACGAGTAAGTTCTGGAAGGAGCTCATGGGACTGTTGGGGACTAAGCTTGCGATGTCTTCAGCATACCACCCACAGACTGACGGACAGACAGAGCGACTCAATCAAGTGGTTGAACAAATACTGCGCACAGCTTGCAAAGACGACGTCAGCCAGTGTGCTCCGTTCTGTGCTCCTGTTTGTTCTCTTGACACAAGGCAATGGCGGCCTTGTTGTCGACGAATAGCGCTGGAGGAGAACGAGGCCGCTCTCCCAGGTTGGTCAGTAGGTAGGTGAGCCAGCGTAACTCCTGTGCATCCATGGGTGTGGCGTAGATCTCAGCCTCACAACTGGAGATGAGAACTGAAGACAAGCGTGTAGAACGCCAAGAAACTGAACTAGAGCCAAGGCTGTAGGTGTAACCCTGTGACGACCACTGCATAGCCTGGTCGTCAATCCAAGAAGCGTCCGAGTAACCAGTGAGGACAACAACGCCCTGTCCTCCAAGCACGAGCCCCATGCCCGATGTACTGCACAAGTAGCGTAGTACCCTCTTAGCAGCATCCATATGCACCTTTTGATGCCGACCAGGAGCCACGTAGCAAGCTAGAAGGCCAAGAGGGTACGCGAGGTCAGGACGAGTGCAGGTCATCAGGTACATAAGGCAGCCAACTAGCTCTGGGTAAGGACCACTCGGCTCTACAGACTCGTCCGAAGGTGGAGCTGAGAGCGAGTAACCTGTAGCTAGAGGAGTGGTTTGTGCCGAGGACCACGTGAAGCCGAAGCGCTGAAGGACCTGCTGCACCATATGTGACTGAGTCAGGGTGATGGTGTGGCGTGCTCTGTCCCGGATGATCTGCAAGCCAAGGTAACTGCGCAGCTCACCCAGGTCTGTGCACGTGTGTCTCTTCTGCAGCTCCGACTTCACCAGGACAAGAGCCTCAGTGTCAGCAGTGGCAAAGACCAAGTCGTCGACATACACGAGGATGTAGAACGGCGGCAGCGAAGTGTCGGTGCGCAGAAACAGCAACAGGTCAGCAGTCGACGGAGTAAACCCAAGAGCCGAAAGTGTCATCCTGAGTGTGTCGTGCCACTCACGTGGCGCTTGGCGGAGATCGTAGACCGGCTGCCGGAAGCTCCACTGGGTACCAGGAGGGAACGACCCAGTGAAGCCAGGCGGGCGGCGCAGCTTGATCTCCTCGTGCAGGCTGCCCCGTAAAAAAGCTGTGCTGAAGTCAAGAGAGTGAAGTTTGTAGTCCCGCTGAGCGGCAACGTGCAGCAGCACCCGAAGAGTGGTCATCTTCGGGGTGGGGGAGAAGGTCTGGAAGAAGTCAACTCCCTCTTGCTGACAAAAGCCTCGAGCAACGTAACGAGCCTTGAAGACAAGAAGAGAATCTGGCCGCCGCTTCACCTTGAAAATCCACATTCCGTCGACGATGACGTGCCTGTGGACTTCCAGCATGCCATCTCTACGTCCATGGCTGTCTGCCACTGAGAAGAGTACTCACTCGCGATCGCCTCAGCGTAAGAGCGCGAGGTCGGGATGTCTGGTGCATCCGGGTCTCCCTCAGGGGCAAGCAGCATGGCCACGAGATGAGGCGCAGCGGCCGCAAGACAATCAAGGTCCTCGTGCCCGTCCTCAAGGACGTCCGTGCTAAGAGCACTCTTACCCCTGACGGACGGAGGACAGACAGACTCAGACTCAGCAAGAAGACTAGCAGCGTAGTCTAGACGACAGGCAGCAGCAAAGTCAACAAGCTCAGCGACTAGGGCAGACGCAGCAGTGGACTCAAACGTCGGGTCAATGACAACAGTGGCTAACAGACGCGTGACAGTAGGGTGCTCAGTACGAAACTGGTCACACTCAGGGTCCGCAACGTCAGGCAAAGAGGACGCAGGGGGAGACAGCAGAGGAACACGCGACAAAGGAGAGGAAGGATGACGGTGCCAGGGACAGCCGGTTGACGCTGACGAGGAACACGACGTCCGGAACGACCAGAACGGATAGGCGAGACAGGACGCAACGTAGGCTCACGACGCTCAGCAAGGCCCCCTGTCTGCTCAGTGTACGGAGAAGGAGCAGGCAGCGGTGAGCCAGGCTGTAACGGAAGATCAGTAGACAAAGGGAGACTGAGAACTTGGCGAAGCACAAAGTCAGGCGGTGGCTGAGACGACGGAGACGGCGGAGCAAAGAACAGGCGCGGTTGTGCAGTGCCACCAGCACCAGCAGCTCCAGCACCTCCAGAAGCTCCAGTACCCTCAGCAGCTCCAGCACCTCCAGCAGCTCCAGAAGCCTCAACGCCAGCTCCTCCAGGACCAGCTCCACCAGCTGCAGCACCCCTTGAACCGGCACTGCGAGTCCCAGGGTCTCTAGCCTCAGTGCCTCCAGCAGCAGTACCCCCAGACCCAGGGTCTCCAGTAGTAGCACCCTCAGACACAGCACCTCCAGCCCCAGCAGCTCCAGTACCTCTAGTACGAGCACCTCCGGGACCAGCGACTCCAGCACCTCCAGGAGACAAAGGACCAGCACCACTCCCAGCTTCAGTGACGTCAGCACCTCCAGCAGTGGAGCCCCGAGCTCCAGAAGCACGACCTTGCTGGCGACCGTACCAGTCGTGCAACTGCTGTGAGGTGAGAGGCACACGCGGACGAACGCGGCTACTCCAAGGAGACCACGTAACAGCAGTCTCAGAACCCTCAGGTGTCGCACCCCCAGGCTCCTCACACGCACGCTCAGCACCCCCAGACGCAGCACCCCCAAGCTCAGGACCTCCAGGCTCCTCACGTGCAAGCTCAGCACCTCCAGGCTCCGCACCCTTAGGCTCATCACGCTTGGGCTCAGTGCCCCCAGACTCCGCACCCCTAGTCTCAGCACCTCCTGGGTCCTCACGCTCAAGCTCCGCACCCCCAGGCTCAGCACCCCCACGCTCCGCACCCCCAAGCTCCGCACCCCCAGGGACAGCACCACCCCCAGCAAGATCTGAGTCACCATTGACCTCAACAGGCGCAGGTACGGGAGGGTCTACCTAAGAGACACCTGAAGGAGCAGGACCTGGCGCGGGGAGGGGGTCTACCTGGGGAGGACCTGGGGCGAGAAAGAGCGGCGGGGGGGGGGGGGGGGGGGGGGGGGGGGGGAGGGGGAGTGCCGTAAGGTAACGTCCTGAGATGGAAAGACACGGCGCGAGGCGGGGTTGTAAAACTGCCAGCCAAGCGCGTCAGGGACAAAGCGAAGGAAGACGCGGGGAATGGCGCGAGGGGAGAGCTTGTATGCGGTGGTACGAGCACCCCAGACCCGAAAACACAACGCATCGCCAACCTTCCCTGTCCACAGCAGTGTGGGCGAGGTCTCCGGCAAGGAGACACGAGGCCAGAGGTTGAGATGATGCGCGGCGTACCGGACCGCAAACGGCCACAGAAAATGGGGGGCAGCTGCATGGATCATGGAGGTACGAGGGACCTCCATGACTAAGCCAATGCGGCGCTCAGCAACCCTATTTTGTTGCGGAGAGGCCGGAAGCGTGAACGTCTGGCGGATGCCGTGCTCCGCACAGAAGGCTGCCAAGAGGTCTAAGGAGAACTCACCACCTCTGTCAGAGTGCAGACGCAGGACAAGAAAGTCCGACTAGAGCCGCTCGCGGACCTCGAGACAAACAATGTGGATCTAGAGGATCAAAACATCAGGGACCTCCCCCTTGCGCTGCAACGGGAAGACCATGGTGTAACGCGTGTAGTCGTCGACGACCAGTAGGAAGTACCGCTCGTGGCCCTCTCCACGGACGCGGGCTGGCATAAGCCGTCGTACTCTCACACGTCCCCCCCTCAAAGCTGGGTTGCGTGAGATACACCCTACTTGACAAGATAGTCCTTGAGAGCACGGCGTGCGTTGCCCATATCTGCTTCTGCAACCCAACTGTCCTCAGTGGGGTCGTATCCCTTCCCGCGGATCAGGAACTCGAGGGTCTTGCCGCCACGGCGCCGATGCGTGAGTTAGACTGCGGGGTTGGCACGAACTACTAGAGGTGATCGTAGCTTTGCTTGGTTCCTTAGTGCTTACACATTCACGGGAGAAATCGGCAAGAATTTCCACTAGCAAAGTTGGGAATTACAGAATGATTTAAACAAGCAATCACAGAATGACTACATCAGGCACCTAGCAACCCTGCAGCTTGCCTGGTCGACCGCCAGCACAGCTCAGCCGACCGCCTACCAGCGTTGCGTAGAGGAGTCGCGCCAGCACTGCAGAAGGGCGACCTGCCAACAGAGCAGGTCGACGGCGTGCCAACGTTGCAGCAGAGCAGCTGTCCAACGTTGCCCTGTAGAACACAACAATGTGCACGCTCGCAGGTGCGCGCAGACGATTGGCCCGACTTGCTTCGTTGGGCATCCGTCGGCTGTTGTCCGCGCCTAACGAGCCACATCAACTTTGGGATACCAGCCCGCAGTTGTCTTCGCCATCGCAATCTCAACAACGTTCGTGTGCCTCCGCACAACTGGTCGAGCAGGTTACCCGGTCGACCCGGTCGACCACTAGGTGCCTCTGGTTGACCACAACTCCCGTTGAGCTACCCCCTGGTCGACGGACCCCTTCCGTCAACCAGGACTGTCAGCGGTTGTTGCCGAGCTCCCCTCATCGACCGCTGCTCACTGGTCAGGTCGTCGGACTGCTCCGTCGACCTCCCGGTCGAACGGCAGCTCAACGAGATGCTTTGGAGACCTCCCGGTCGAACGACAGGTCGACGGGATGCTCCGGAGACCTCCCAGTCCAGCTATAGGCCCTGGTCGACGTCCCACCCATCGCCCAGACTAGTCAATTGCAGCTGTCGAGCTCCCTGGTCGACAGCAACACCACAGCGGTCCCCTGCAGCTCGACGAAGCCTGTCGAGCAGCTCTCCCACTGTGAACAGTCGGCTGTTACTCCCGTACATCCGACCAAGTCGTCCGCGTTGCCCAAGCGAGGGCGGGGCCAACCCTCAATTCCTGTTAACACTCCCCTGCCGCGCTCATGCTTGGGCCTCCAACCCAGACGGTAGTACTCCATGGAGAAAACTCATCCTCGGCGTGCACCCCACACACAGCACGCCGTCACCGCACCAGCCGTGCAGAA